GTTGCGACGTGTTGGTAATATACCAACGGGGATACGTAGCTCGCGGGTTACCTGGAAATGTGTCAAGTACCCAATTAACTACAGCAACCGTATCCAAGGGCATCGCTGGTAGTTACGCTGTTCATCCCGTGCGTGCTTTCGCGCAGAAATGCCGTGGTCGCTTTGCGGCGCGCTCTTCTCAGCAAAGCGGGCTGCCTATCCGTTAGTCGCCTGAAGGGCCTGCCGCCTGCTGACGCCTACGCAGTTCTCGTCTGTGTCGCCAGACGAGAGACGTTCGCATAGCTTGTAAACTAGCCAATTGGCCGTCCAATTCAGTCACCTTGTTTGACCAGTAGGATTGTTCGTCTGGATCCGTTTCGGAATCCCTCCGCGGTCGCGTTCGAACGCCTGGTACAGTAGGGCTATGGTGTCCTCCTGGCCGCGTACCGCGGCGGCGTACGCGTGTACGTCGGTCTGCTCAAACGCCAATAAATGATGGCCGTTGAAGTTGAAGTGATTACAACTTACTAGGTCCCGCGGACCATACGTCACTCGCTCGTGCTCGTACACTGATCCATTGCAAACCATGCACCTTTCCGCGGACGGACGCTCGGTAAGACCCTGTTCGAAGTCAGAATAAATTATCCGCGGGGGAAGGTGCTGACTACTCCCCATTGCGGTAAGTGTACCAGCACATCAAAGTAACAGTATGCATAGAGCAACCGTGACCGCACACGTGAAGGCATGGCGAATTAAACAACCACAACAGCACATAACGAAAGTGGTGTGCGTACGGCTTATTGCGGCTTATTGCAGTACAGTTTATTACTCACATAGCGTCGGAGCTCTGCAATACATCCTCAGGCTGGGGCGGTGTAACACATACTACCACATTATCGCCCCCGCCTTTTGTAAGCGTATTCAGACACCAAGGTGAGAGGTACAGCACTGAGACAATGACGTTGTAATTTATGTACACACCGGGTGTAACTGATAATGCGCAACAGTGTTGCGGGTTTGCCTACCCAGTTAGCCCGTAAGGCGCCATGGCCCCTGCAGCCCTGGCGGGTATGCAATCCCGCAACACTCCCGGGAGAAAAAAACAGCTGAATAAAGTCGGACTTTTACTGTGAAAAAGCGAAATTTACCTGAGCCGGGACTGGCACTTACCTGATTTTAACTGATTTTTACCGACACTTAACTGAGCAAGCTGATCTACCCCACCTTTAACATGATATACTTGAACACTTAACTAACAATTATCCGCAATTATCTCAAATTAAGCTGATGAGAGATCAGCATCAACATTCAGCTCGATTCAGTTATATTCAGCTATCTGTCGGGTCAAGCCTAACTGACTTAAAGTAATATTTTACTGATCTCTTGCTGAAATTTATCTTCAGCTCTTTACAATGTTTACTCAGCGATGGGTCGACTTTATAAAAACTGATAAGAGTCTGATATTTGCTGAACTTTGCTGAAGTGTCAACGACAGGCATTTGTCAGCTGGCGCTCATGTTGTATGCATCTGATTTAGGACTGAATTTAGTTGAGATTGGCATCCGTGTGCAAATCAGGTGGGATCAGTATCACGTCAATCAGTCATATATTACGTGGAGCTGAAGTTACCTGAAGCCGACGATGTCAGCTAGTTGTCAGCTAAATTGCAACCATCAATTGAACTGACGGAAAGATGATTAGAGCTAACTAAAACTGAATTTTCTAGTCAGCTAACTTCAGTTTCGATTCTAAAAAGAGTTATCAAGGATCAGCTTTTGTTCATGTTAAGTCAGTTATGGCAGCTAACTTACAGCTAGATCAGTTAAAATCAGTAATAATCAGGTAACTTCAGTTAACATCAGTTTTCTTTTTCTCCCGGGCTGTTGCGCATTCTCAGTTACACCCGGTACAAGCACCTCATTGACCGCACCGAGTATGTATCACTTAGTCGTACAGTACAGTGCCTGCAAGACACTGAAAATGTACCTACGACTAGGATCACAATGATCCACAGGCCTACCGTACTTGAGATAACAAATACAAACAGCAACTTAGAATGATTATGGTCGCCACACTTAGTCCACCCGCGGTCAGTTCTACGGTGTGTTTCTTTCACTCCCGAAACCAAGGAAGATGAAGGGCCGCCTTAATCTCGCCAAGTCGCGATGCGCCGTCTAGTCCCAAGCCGATCGATGCGTTCAGAAGCTCATCTATTTGATGTAAGATGAACTCCCTATTGGTGTTGTTCGTCTCGAACTCAGGAAACGTGATGGCTGGGATGTCCGGCAGGAT